TATTTTGAAAAAGAGTGTTGTATGGCTGAGGATGTGCCCTATCAACTAGTGTTGCACTCTTTGTTTATGTTGTAGTTTCCATGGAAATAAGTAAGTGGCACTACTTTTGGAGGGACCTACATACTTCTGAGTCTTGTGATTTTAAAATAGGAAATTGTTTTCAAAGTTTTGAAAGCACTGTCATTTTTTCCCCCTCTTCTCAAACAAAAATATATCAGAAGGCATGTAGTCATCTTTCTTTGAAAGAGTATTTTTGATCAGGAAGCACTCTAAGTTTGTTAGGATGCTAGAACTGTTCTCACTCGATATTCTGTCAACAGCAGCCCACGTTTCTATTATTTGGCCACTGCTGTATTCTGTACAACATTAACCTTGGATGCAACTTTTTCTATAGAAAAAGACTATTAAAGTGACTTTCTGAACATTACATATTAAAAAGGATTCAGTTCCAGATATACCTTCTTCACTACCCTGGAGGCTTTCTGTGAAAATTTTCCAGGTATAAAAGTAAAGCCACAAGTATTGTAATAAGAAAATTCTCTCTTAAAATAGAAAAAATAAAGTACATTAAATGAAAAAACAAGGCGCAAAATATGGAGTTGCTAAATCTCATCCAAACTTATCTAAGTTGACATGCTGCAGTAGATGCCCTTCCTGAATTTAGCTCATAGTATCACAATAGATTTAAAGAAAACACACCTAAACAAGGAAAGTTGCTCCATACTAATTTTTCTTCACTGTCTCTCTACAGATATATCAGAGAAAGGATATCTTGTAACAACCTTGTTTCCTGGGTTTTAAACAGTTTTATAATCAGTGGAACTTATTAGATATTAGAAATGATTAATCAGAATGTCACACTCAGACTGGTTACTTCAGCAATTTGGTAGTATTATGTATAATTGGGAGTATTGTCTATGGTAAAGTGGAACACTCAGTATCATAGATATTTTCTTCTGTATCATGACTTTTTATCATGTAGCTTTGGAGAAAATTCTTTCTGTGAAACCTAACCTGTGAAATGTCCCTTAATGAGCCTGGAATGCCAAGGTGATGTGACCCCAGTGTACCTGTCAGCTGTCCTCCAGCAAAGGTTGACTTGAATTCAGAGCAGTCAGCCTACAGAGAGAAACAATCACAATTGTATTCTGCACTCATCTGTCAGTAGTTGACATTAAATGTAGGACAGATCTACCATGGTGTTCAATTAATTGTCTCCTACACATTAAAGTAGGAGTTTATAAGTATTATGTATCTAACTCTCACTGAAAAAATGATTCACACTGATTTATCAGAAGGCTTACAATTTATGGTTTATAACAATGCTTAAATGTTGCTAAATTTAATCACAATCAGACAATAGACCTAGATTTTTTTTGTTCTATTTCTATAGTATATCCATAATAAGTCTAATTTTGTCATATTGATTCCCAAAATCTTGCAACTCTCATTCATAAAATATTAATCATGAAAGAAAAACAATTATTTTAGAGTTTTGCTAATGCTCCATAGAAGGTCAAAATGACTATATCTCTGACTAACCACAAGGGCATCAGAATCTGAATCTGCTCATGTTTTATAATGAAAAACAGAGTCTTATCATTGCAGCTGAATGAAAGTCTCACTCCTAAATAACAGACAAATCAACAATAAAAAGACTGGAAATGCCTACTTCAGAGAAATCCATCCAGTACCAACCAAAATACTAGTATTTTTCTTCATGGGTATACAGGCTCACCAACAGATGTAATTCAAATCCTCTATTTGCTTCTGCATGTGTTTTTACTATTCACCGGATTGAATACCTCTCACTTCCTCTCTAGCTTTATACCTCCATCCTGTATTTGTTCTTATCAGATAATTGCTGACTATTTCTGATTACAGCATACTCCCAGGATTCATAATATATATGGGAGGTAAGGTTAAGTATCTTGTCCATGACCCTGAAGTTCTGAACATGCACTAACATATCAAATCTTTTGCTTTTGCTTAGTTTGATTTTGTAGCGCTGAACTCCAAGAATTCCTCAGTAACGCGTTAGAAGACAAGCTCAAATTTCATTCTAAATTTGCTTGTTGACCAACAATTTTACTTAATGCTTCCTTGAATCAGTACAAAAGACTTCCCTCTTAACACTCAGTAATTCAATGTGGTGTACTTTCTCTATTCCCTTTTCAATAAGGTGGCAACCCAAGAATCATCTCAAAAAACATCTGTATATTTCTACTTTGATTATATGAACAACATAACTTTTTCCAACTAAAGTCATTTTGTATTTTTGTGATTCTGTGATTCATCTATAAACAGGATCTTATAGTACAACTTCTGAAACAGTAAACCTCAGACTCTTCCTAAGATAAAATATTCAAATAAATAAATGATTTTATTTGATTCATTAGTTAGGACTTCCACTGAAATACACATTATCTGAGATCAAGGCACATGGTTACATACAGACATCTGTAGCAGCACATAGCTGCTGTTAGTAAGACCGTTTTCTCTACTCAGAAAGCCATAAAGAGAAATCTTTATTTTGTTTGTATTTAACACAGACTTTTATATCTCAGGAATCTGAGAAGGGACTCAAGCCAAGAGCATTTCCCCATTGTGTCTGAGACCTGATGGGAAGAAAATGAGGAGAAATTTTGTAAGTCCAAGTTTGCATATTACTTGTAAGAACCGAAGTAATTTTATATTTTCTATTTTTGTTATGGTTAAAAATATGAACAAGGAGGGAGAAATGGCATTTTATACAAGATGATGTCCTATCCAATTAAACAGTGATGGATCCCACCAAAATGCATTCTGTGTCAGCTTAAATACGTTATGTTAGGGTTGAAGATCTGTATGGATATTCTCTTGGCCTTCTGCATAATGTGGATTTCACAGTTTAGAATTTAAGAAGCTCCTAAATTTGAGCCAGATGCTCAACTTCAGATTTTAACTAAAGTTTTAACAATGCCTAAATTTAGTTTTGAGAATTTCTCTTGCCCAACCATCTAAAGAAGAAATACAATGTCCTCTATAATTTTCAGATGATGAATCTTATGGGTCATGAACAAACAGCAGAACCTTGTTTACCTGGTTCTTTGCAAACTAATTATCTCCAATAAATGTTACACCCATCTGCCTTGACTTTGACCTCCCTGGAGGGAACAAATAAAACTTTCAATGCAGTTGCCTAGAGCTATACTTTTTGTAAGGTATTTTGTGCACTATAGCTTTAGCCTCCTTCCAGAGTGAGTGTTTTGCATCTAGAAAGAATGCAGAGGTTGCAGAAACTGCCAAGAAATTCTTTCTGGCCACTGGGCTGATGTGTAAAATTGATTTCCAGATGTATTCTCTCACTTTCTCTGCTCTTATATTTTGGTTTCAGATATCAGTATGTGAATGAGGGCAGAGCAAAAATAGCAATAAAGGAAATAAGGCATGGAGGCAAGAGTGCAAGTGGTAGAAGCTGAAATGGAAACAGTGAAGGAGAGACAACACATTCAGTCATACAAACATACATGCCTGTATATAGTTTACATTTCAGGATCTTGCTACATAAGGACAAAATTCAGACATGAATATTTTATTCAGTTTTCTCTTGTAATATACCCCAAGCATTTATTACTTTATTTGAATGGTAATACAAATGGAAGCAATCTTGACTTTGCAATATTTATTAGCTCTGTGCTTGATGAGGCAATATTCCTCCCACCTCATGCTAGTAGCTTAGCTGTCAAAATACAGATGACCCAACATATGTAATTGTTCACATAGAATAGAATTAATAACAGGAAGACAAGTAATTAAGGACAAGGACTTTATTTTAGTATCACACATCCTAACACACTTTACTAACCACTGAGCTATCTGCTGTTCTGTTGATGTTAATATAATTCCACAGAACATTTAGGTTTTCATAAAAGAGCATTTTTCAAATGAATATGTTTATTTCTAAAATGTTTTTGTCAGCCTTAGTGAGGACAGGCTAAAAGAGTGAAGGGAGGAACAGGAGTTTATCAGAACACACTGAATACTGAACACCAAGTAATAAAAGCTTAATGTAACAAATTTCATCAGGAATAAGGGAATTGAGCTTTGTCTCTGAGCTTTGGATAGAAAATGGCTATCATTTTTTTATTTGTGTCAGGTTTGAAGTGTGACAAGGCAGAAGGAAAAGTCCTGATGGTGACTGTTCAGTGAGCCTTCATTTCTGCCTCTTGTGCTCCGGATAAACATATTCCTTTCCTTGTACTTTGCCATAGAGCCAGGTGCTTATATCTCCTGGAGGGAAGATGAGAAGTGCAAATGCCAGCCTCTGTAGCAGAGAAGAGCTTACTATAGGTTCCCTAGTAAGAACTGTTCAAGATGGTTTCTGATTTCATGTGACGATGACATTTATGTAGAAGCATGCTGGCTTGAGGGCACTTTTCTGCTAAAATCACTTTCAAGCTCTGCCCACACACATAATTTCACAAGTGTGAAATTATAAGCAATGCACTGAATAGATTGCTCAAGTTTTTAAATTATTCTCATAATAATTGTTAGTGTTTTTACTCTTCTAAGTTTGTTTACAGCTTTATAAAAACTTGTTTATAATCACCAATATTTTGTACTAAATTTGATGTTTCTTATGAATGTTTCTTATAATCTGTGAAAAATCTGTTTTTCCATAATATTTTTGCATACTATCTTGGTGATTTTGCGGCATATAAGCTATTAATACTTTCAAAAGTGCTCAGTAGTACTTAGATGAACTTCAGAAGTATGTACATTAATGTCAGCACATCAAGAGTCTTCCAAAAAATCAAAATAAAAGAAGTTAACAATTTCATAGGTTTAAAATGGTGTCTTTATTAGCTCTGTAACTGTGATTAAGAATCAAAGTGGAGAAAATTACCTAAATTTACCCTCCCCCTTAGTCAGCAGTAAGTTGTGTAGGACCCTCCCTAAACCAAATAAGGCCAGGAAGAATGTGCTAAGCATTGAGTGTGCTAAGAATAAAGTTGAGCTGGGGTGGATAAGGTTACTTTGAACTCCGTATTTCATGTTTCCTGACATACCCCCCCAAAGAACAGCAATTATGTTAGTGAGGCTGCAGTAGTGTTAAACAGCTCTTTCCCAGTTCTTTTGTTTTGTTGGGGTTTTTTTTTGCTGCTTCTCCATGCTTTCCTTCCCTGTTTAGAGATGAGCCTTTCTGCTGTTTGTTTGCCATGCGCATGGTTCTTAGGATATTAGAGAAAACTCACTGGAAGGCATGGCTATTTTTGTTAGAGGCTGATACTTAAGACTGAGCTTGAAGTATTGCTGCTGGAAGGCCTGAGGTTGCTCGGTGAGGGCAGGAGTCTGCAGAGGAAAGAGAAAGTTCAGAGGGGCACAAAAGAAGAACGAACAGAATTAGAAAAAGTGGAGTACCTCCCTCCTGCTTGTTCTGCAGCTCCTGCAAGAGTGAGCAACCCAGAGGTATTATCTAAGCTGCCACTGTAGATCTTGACCTTTTTAACAGAGTATCTCTTACCATCATCATCATGGCCGAGGTTACACCAGAAGGTACGGTAACTATTTTCAAATATAATTAAGCAAAAATGATATGTACTTTGACAGTGCAATTGAGCTGCTGTGTCAATATGATTTATTGCTCTTAGAATACAGTTATTTCACTCCAGGATCATTTCAACTGTTTGTTGGGTTGCTTTCTTCCTCTCTTTCTTGTCTTTGGGTTGTGGTGTGTTGGTTTTTTTTTTTTTGTTTGTTTGTTTGTTTTCTTTTTCACTTGTAGGCAGAATTTTTACCAGTTTCAGAAGCAAGTTTTTTGTACACCTCTAAAAATAGCATTAGCCTCACATGCAGAGCATCTCCATTGGAGTGATACAAGAAAGAGGAATGCCTGAATGCCAGGTGTTTCCACTGTTAATTGTTTTCTCAGGTAAATCATTGGTGGTCCCTTACAGGCAGAAATTTTCCCAAGTATAAACAAGGGAGCTTAGTTATTGGCCCTGATTTTTTTATGAAGCGCAGAGCATTTGTGAACTTCACATCAGGTTACTGCAGGGTGAAAGCTACTTGTCCTTCAACCCTTATTCAGGTAAACTTCTAAAAGAGTCAGTGAAAGTTGTACTGAAATGATTATTCCAGAGTTTGGCCTGCAAGAATGAAAGGCAGTTGTATAACCTATAAATACATATTCTACAGTATGAATATTTCATGTACTTCAATATTTCCTGACCATTCATATTTAAATAACATTGTAGATGCATAACAATATTTTATCAACCACAGCGAGACAGAATATTTTTAAAACTCAGCTTCTTTAATACTGATTTTTTCAGTTCAATTTCATTTCTCTCTTTTATTTCAGTGTGGATTACTCGACTGTTTATCCAAATTTAACAATGACACCACATACACACAAAAAAGAAAAAAGAAAAAAAAAAAAAAACAGAAAACCCCAACAACATACAAACAAACAAAAAAAACAGGCACAAAAGTTTAAAACATTCTTCTGAAAGTTATTTTTATTCTACTTGTCAAGGCTATGTACATTTTAGTGTACCAAAGTTGTACTTTTTGTCTTCTATTTTTCATTATTATTTTTAAGAGGATTTGTATTAAGCAGTATTAGAGAGTGAACCAAATTGTCTTCCAAAAATTCATGTTAGAAATATGTCAGGCTGTACAATCCTTGTCTGATGTCCACTTAACCACAGCAAGTAGACAATGTGGGGATGATTTTCTGATCACCAGTTGGATGGATCTATAAGCCACTTCTGGCTGCAAATACTGCCAAAACATGTATCTCTGTATGACAGCCCTAATCCGAATGCTTGCACTAGTTTATTTGGAATTTCTTAACTGGTTTTGTTGAAAACATTGATTACTTTGTAGTTGTTATCAGGAAATCTATGAAATTACATTTGTTTTCCAAAATGTGTACATTAACACCATCACTGTTAGAGGAGCATTGTAGAATTACTTCTTGCAATGCTCTCCAAGCAAAACAAAGTAAAAAATATCAAGATTCTTTGAAATTTGTAGCAAGCTTAAATGACTTTTTAGTCCAAAAGTGTTTTTTCAATAACTTAGCTAATCAAAGAAAGAAGATAAAAGATCCTAAAAAAAAAACCCAACAAACATGGGATCTGAAAATGTTTTTATAGTGTTTACGAGTGCTCCTTAGCTGTCACAGTGCCTGCTTTTGCTTTTGTGCAAATCAGTAGACTTAGGTGACAAGAGGCATCAATCAGCTCCTCAGTACCTGTCTTTCAGCAGGACAGGCAAATTCGCTAGAGAATAGCTGTTGTTCTTTTGTATATTTGGAATAGGCTTATTTTGATTGGCTGATTTTTAAACTTCATCCATGAGGTGGAAATTGTACTCATGGTAAAAAACTAAGAATTCAGCCTGAGACTAATGTTCCACTGCAGTTTATTTTCCTCTGGGGCTACTCCTGGCAGTCACAAATAAATCTGAAAGTTTAGGTCTAAAATTCAGCAACTTACAGTTTCTGCAAACAAACAAACAAAAAAAGTATGTCTTGTTTTATATAATGCCTTTTTGATTTTTTTTTTTTTTTATTATTATTCTTATTTTTTCTCAGGCTGTTATTTGCTCAGGTCTTAATGATTTCACTAGGTTTAAAATCCTTGCTCAAAGTGGTTGGAATTCTAACCTCTGTTTTGTAATGTCAGCCACATCTCACTCTTTGTCCATGGAGTAACATTCTGACATATCAGAGTGTGTATAGCACTGTGTAAGGAGCCATGCAGGCCTTGGGTCTGCCATGGCCAGTGTGGCTACTGATTTATGGAGGTGGTTCAGCCTGGACATATTGATACTGTTGACACACATCTCAAGATATTTTCTGACAGCCAATGCCATGGCCTATGGTAGGCAGATACATTGGCTTGATGGAGTGCTCTTTCAGATTGACCTCACTGTAATGACAATGACAAAATTTCACTGAAAAATGTATTCACAAAGCAACGACTCCTTGAACTGTAAGACTCACATGCTGCCTCTACATTATCATAACAACAAATTGCATGATGTTCAGATTTACTGGTGAAGTATACCTGGCAAAAGGCAAAAAGTAATCTGTGAAGACAGCAACCTATTAATATCCTGAGAAAGCTGCCAGGACTTAGGTATCCTGCTGGTAAATATTTAGAAGATTCCAAGGGATTATCTTCAGCATTCTCATATTACATGTAACTGCAATCGCAGAGTTGCACTACTGAAAGCTGGAAGTCCATACAACTGTGTACAAATAAAAGTTCAGTAGAGATATGACTACTCTGTCTTTGTAATGCTCTCAGGAATTGTAGTAGTTGTTATTTATAGTCATTACTATTATTATTATTATTAATATTAATTTCAGCTGCTGCTGAGATTTTATAAATGTCAAAGACTTCCATGACCTCTTAGGAGCTTGCCTGGAAAGACAGGGGTATCTATTTATGCACCTATGCTGTGCTTATGAACACAGTGATTGGCCTGGGCTCTATGGCACACACAGTTAGAGCTGCCACCACTGAAATATGAATACAGAAACCCTTGTTGCTCTGAGAAATGGCTTGTATCAATATACAGCTTTATCTGTATGTGTACGATAGCTGCAGCAGCTGCCCTATACTTGGTCATTTCTACCAGCCCAATCTACCACAGGTCGCATAGCAAAGCTGATGGCCATCCTCTGGCACATTTTCCTCCCACACATGGAAGAATGAGCAGAGGCTTAGAAGCATTCAGAGCCTCTCCTTGCTTCAATGCACTGGAGGCTGTGCACTGATCTGTTCCAGAGAGGTGAGGAGAGCAGAAAGATGAGGTTTCTCCTCCAGCTGTTTGTCTGCCACAATTTATTTCCCCAGTGGAGCAAGAGAGAAGCAGGCATCGAACAGAAATGTGTCAGTGAGTCACAATTTGGTCCTTATTTTATTGCTGAGAGCTATGCGACTACACATTTTCTCAGAGTAGGCTGCAAGACAGGTGAGCCCTGAGGCTACAGGCAGCTTGTCAGTGACAAACTCCAAATTAGCTTGTGACTTTTGGTCCTCGTCTCTGGCTGTTTGATAACTACTGAAAGTCTTAAGATGTAGAACATTTCAAAAAGCAGATTTAATGTGATCTGCATGTTTGAAAATGAATATACATTAAACCTGAAAAATATGGGAAATAACGTGCAAGAGCCAGCAGGTAAAGTGATAAAGACTTGCAGAGGGCAATGGCCAGAAACTAGCAATAGTTTTCAGTAGGCAATAACTAGCAAAGTCACTGTTGGCTACTTTTCATGGTAATTCACAAAGTGCTGCTAGTTCTGCTGGCAGCAAAAGCAGCCTAGGTGAATGAATTAGGTTAGATTATTCGGTGTTATCGTTCATTTTGATTAAGTCATGTGAGATGTTTCCTGTCCTTTGGTTAGACTGTTAGATTTAGAAAGTTTATATAGAATTTATTTGCAAGAAGACAATTTGCAATATGAAAGGATATAATCTTTTTCATGCCTCAAGTGTTGACAAAGAAGAAAATAGACTGCCTTCTGCAGGGAAAAGAGGAAATAAAAACAGGATAATTTTGGCAATGACTTCTTTGAAGCAATCATTCTTCTCCCATTCAAAAGTAAAGTCAACAGCCTTATTATCTGGAAAGAAAAAGAAAACTCAGGACTGCCTGTAAAAATGTAAACCTTCCAGGGTAACAGAAGCTGCGTATTCTCTCTGAAGTTCCACAAAACTTGGATTTCCCTCTGCCTATATTTTGAACACCTGAGCTGATTGGTCTGTCTGGCACTTTGTAGCCTGAGGCAAGCAGGCCTGTGACCAAATTTGCTAACCTAAATTTCAGGCTTAAAAATTAGAGGGCACTTTTACTCACAGCTGCAACACTATGCATGCGTGTTTAATCAGTACAGAGACTTAACAGACTCTTACTTTAGGGATCCCTCTGGAAAGTGGAATTAGCTATGGACAGTGGGAAGGCTTAGAACATGTAAACAGAGCATAATCTAACATGCAGTGACACTGCCCTGTCATGGTCTAAAAATTGACTGTGCACAGCTAACTTGTGTTTATGAGTGTGTTAATGGTGTGAACACAGGTTGGACCATTTATTTTATTATTCTTTTTTTTTTTAAAGATCTTTGTGCTCAGCAGCATTTGGAACATTTTTATGGTTACTTTCATAACGAGTGAGATATAAAATCTTGGCAACATTTTCAAATGATAAGTGTGTCCAGCTCCCACTGATTCCAAAATGAAATCTGTGCAACCTGTTAGATTCACAAAAGCGCCAATCAGGTACCTAATCCTAGAAAAAAATCTATAAATATTTTGAGAGGTTCTGCTCATTGCCTACAATGTAAACACTAAGGGGTGGATTCATGCTGCTTCTGCTGCCATAATTAAACCTTCAAAATCTGAGCTCTGTTCTGTAGAGCAGAGTTTGATTTAGGTTAAACTACATTTCATAATGCAGGTCTGGCATCAGTCCAGAACACACTGAGGACAGGGAAACTGGAGGTGCCCTCTGCAAGGCAAGGCAGCTGCTTGTGGGAA